TTTTATTTTATTTTATTTTTCTCATTTTGCAACTTTATTTTCTCCCACATTTTCCCCCTCAATTAATTTATTATCCAATCTACTTCGCATAAAATGATTAAAAGAATGGTCATTAAATACGCATTTTTGCCTTTTTAAAATCCAACAATAAATTAGCAAAAAATCTTAACATTATCGAGGTGCGGTCGAACAATTTCCCGTTTTTATATATATATTTTTTTAAATCATGATTTTTTTTTTCAAAAGGATGAGCGGTATACTTCGCTACAAAGCCTCTTTTTATTTATTTAATAAATATGTTTGAAATTCTAAGTTTTTTAAACCAAATTTCAAAAAACAAATTACTATTTCTCATAATCTCTTTTTTTTTTTTCTATTAGAAAATTAACCATCTTTAAAATATTCTCTCCAATTAGGATTCCTCCAAAAGTCGTAAACTCTCCCTTTCTAAATTCTTTTGTGCTAAACTTTGCCTCTATGTGATTCCTTTTTTTTTTTTCTCATTGTTTGAACTTTTATATATTAAAAACTAAAACATAAGGTTATTTTTCGAGAAAGAACCCCCCCTCCCCTCTAAAAAAAACCACAAAATTGTTTTATAACAATAGAAAAAAAAAACCAAAAAAACGAAAAAGCTATTTAACCAAAAATAATAATAAAAGAGCTTATAGAACTGTCTTAAATGTTTACTTCAGTGTACTAAAATGCATTCTACAATGGAAATTCGAGAAGTGCGCTAAAGAGTGCTGTTTGAATATGTAAATTTATAGAACTAGGTGAAATGAATTTTTACCTTTTTTTTCAAGAAAAAAAAGGAATAAAGACCCAAATTTGATTTAATATAATGTTTGAAGGAAGAAGAAATGAAATTGTAGCTAACGAAGGTTGAGTTTTTGGAATGAATAGGTCCAGAAGGTGGGATAACAGATGGACGAACAAAGGGGATATCAACTTTTCTTTTCCATCCATTTTTGCCACTCGCTCTCTCCATCCAACAGACAACCTACGTACACCCTTCTGTTATCAATATTCACTTCCGGAGATAAAAAAATTTTTTAAAAAAAATCCATTTTTCATCTTTCAATACCAAAACTGTACATTAAAAAAAAAAAGTATATATGTATATTTAAATCCTCCGGCACTTTTCTTTTCCAGTCATTATTATGATGCAGCTTTTTCAGGTCTTCATTTTGAAACAGTGTTCATTATTAAAGCTTAACTTCAATCTCCATGCCCTGTAGTTGCTATCATTTCTGTTCCTTCCCTATTTTCTTCTACCATCTTTTTCCATAACTAGTTTTTGACTAAACTTTTAATTTAGATGAATACTTTTTAGATCTTAAAGATGCCTAATGTATCAATTTCTATTAAATATACACCAAGTAAAGTGTAGAAATTTATTTTATGTATTTTTAAAACTTAAAATTTTAGAATTAATGTTTATTAAATTTTAAAAATGCTTAGTAGAAAATTTATTTATGTAATTTTAAAACTTTAAATGTAGATTTAATGTTTCTTAAATTTTAAAGATGCATGATGAATACAATGCCTATTAAATTTGTAGAAATTTATTTATGTAAATTCAAAACTTCCAATTTAGATTCAATGTTTCTTAAATTTTAAAATGCCTAATGAATACAAGGTATGAAATGTCCCATGTGAAGTGTGTAAATTTATTTATTTTAAAACTTTAAATTAAAGCTTCTTAAATTTTAAAGATTCTTAATAAATACGATGTCTATAAAATCTAATATGTAAAGTGTAGAAATTTATTAAATATTATAATTTCATAATATATTTAAAAATTATTTATATAAATAAAAAATTATTTGTTATACCTCAAAAGAATCACTCATACTGCATCAAATTAATGGTTGAGCCGTCAAATCTGATGGACTTTCAATTGCCGGATGATCAAATTTTCTGCCCAAAGGCCAAATCTATCAAATGTATAAAAGAATATCACTCTATAAGATTAAACTAAATTACTCTGATTTGACTTAGATTTTGAACGTTATAACAAAACAAAAAGGAAAAAGAGTTTAATTTTTAAAAAACTGCAAACGTGAGTGGATTTTGACATTTTTAAAATTATCTCTACTCTAGTTTATGGTAAAAGTTATCAGTTTCCACCCATCGCGTAATAGCAAAAGAAGGAAAAAAAAAAGTTTGCATAACATTTTCATTTTAGTAATATTTTCAAATGTCCAAATTTATTCTATAATTACTTTCAATAAATCTTTAGAAATCAAAATAATATTTGAAAAGAAAAACTTCCATCCAGAACAAAAAAAAAAAAAAAAAAAAAAAAAAAAAAAAAAAAAAAAAAAAAAAAAAAAAAAAAAAAAAAAAAAAA